CCTCCTCTGGACTCGCTCCAACAGCTCCGTGTCCTTCTGCTGTTGGGGGCCCAGAGCTGCAGCAGAACTGCAGGTGGGGGTCTCCCCAGAGTGGAGCAGAGGGGCAGAATCCCCTCCCTCGCCCCCCTGCCCACCCTTCTCCGGATCCAGCCCAGGATACGGTGGGCTTTCTGGGCTGCCAGCGCACACGGCTGGCTCATGTCCAGCTTTTCATCCAACAGTACCCCCAAGTCCTTCTCCTCGGAGCTGCTCTCTATCCACTCTCCACCCAGCCTGTCCTTGTGCTGGGATTGCCCCGACCCAGGTGCAGGACCTTGCACTTGGCCTTGTTGAATCCTCACAAGGGAAGGAATTCAGACACCGTGTGAGATGGCTTAGCAGGAAATTGCTGACAGGGAGAGACATATTTATCTTATTCATGCTCTTTTGCCTCCTGGAAATCCAACAACCGATCACTGTCCATGTTTTGAAGAGACAGGACTAGTACCGCACGTGCACATCTCCATGTGTGTCAGTGCTCCCACGAGGCCTGCTCCGGTGGGACACAGACAGTGAGGGCGCAGGGGACAAGGCTCAGGGCGCCTGGCTGGGTGCTGGCAGACACCAACCTTCTCTTTAAAGTGCGTCTACACCGCGTTCTCCAAAGGATGCTGCGTTCTCACAGCGTTTGCGCTCTGACCTTTCTCTGCAGTGTTTTGACTGTTTAAAGACCTCTGAAATGCGATTAGTGAAATTCTTCAGTTCTCGTGCATTTAACGGACTCCACGGGAGCATTTTGCTCCTGGGGTTAGTGGCAAAAAGGGAAAAGCCTGGCAGCTGCAGGACAGTGCAAGTGTCACAACCAGTTCGCTAAAGACTCCTGGTAAAGCCTGTGCAGCTGGAGGGGGGTGTGGGAAGCCATAAATGCCCATAAATCCTACACTGGTTATTCTGGTGTGGAACTCGGCTTAAATCAGCCCAAATACCAAGGGAATGACAGGTTTCTTTTCAGAAGATCACAGAGAGCCAGGGGCTACGAGTCTCATTTCCGTAACAGATTAACAAATACACAACTACACCAAAGGGTTAATGAGTTTTGCCTACGCAGGCTGAAGTCGCTGTCGGGTATCTGTCATTACTTAGGAAAGGGATTTTGAAATTATCACAGCCTGAACTCCCAGGATGTTGCTGAGAGGAGTTCAGAAGAGGGGAGCAAGCAGCTGCCACTCTAAATCCCCTGGGCACCTAAATCGCGTGCGATGGCAACAGTTCTGGCCTCCTTGAGCTTAGAAAAGGAAAACTTGTGGAGGAGAAAGGATAATCACAAAGCTCTGGGGAGATAATCAAGAAGAGATTAAGACTTCACTGCTGTGAAAGATGATGCGATGAAGGTTTATTCAATCACGTCCAGCATGAGTAACATGGAAAGGGGGAAATTTTCAATATGCCTTGAAAAATAAAGAGCTTAGAGGCACAAAATAAAGTCTGGGAGAGCACTGAGACATGTATTGTTTACATACTGACTATGTCCGAGTACGCTGGCTGGGGGTATCTGCCACACTAGGTTATAAAAGTGCCCAACAACTGAATCCCAGAATGGTTTGGGTGGGAAGGGACCTCAAAGATCATCCAGTTCCACCCCCCCTGCCATGGGCAGGGACCCCTTCCACTAGACCAGGTTGCTCCAAGCCTCATCCAGCCTGGCCTTGGACACTTCCAGGGATGGGGCATCCACAGCTTCTCTGGGCAACGTGTCCCAGTGCCTCCCCACCCTCTCCGGGAAGAATTTCTTCCTGATATCCAATCTAAACCTCCCCACTTTCAATTTAAACCCGTTACCCCTTGTCCTGTCACTACAGGCCCTTGTAAAAAGTCCCCCCCAGCTTCCTTGTAGCCCCTTCAGGCACTGGAAGGCTGCAATAAGGTCTCCTCGGAGCCTCCTCTTCTCCAGGAAGAATCAATGGAAGAAAAGCTACTCAAAGGTTGTTTCCAACACCAAACCTCTAGCCCAGGCAAATTTGGAAGGTTTCCAAACACCTCCTCCCACTCTTCAGGAAGAGACATTCCCTACCTGCCCCGTTTCCGCAGTCGCTGCCACTGCCCAGCACAGCGACGTGGGAGCAGCCGCGTTTCTGGCCTAAGCCCGCGCATCCGGCTCGTACCGCGTCCAACGCCCCAGAGACCCAAAGTGACAAATAAACAGTTTATACAAAAGCGTTTTACTGGAACTCAAACTATTCATTATTTTCCAGCACAGGTAAATGGAAAAGGTTCCTAATTATTACTCCTAAGTGAAGCAGCTCTTCGCAGTCACAATTACAATGCAACGTTATCCGTTCAGCTGAAACATCTTCCCCCTGCCCCATCTCCTGTTTATCTGCAGGCTCGCGAAATGATGAAAACAGGACATCGGAGCTTCCCTTTTCCAGGCGTTATTTGGTCCAGCGTTCTGTTTTTAACAGGTGATGCAATTATCCATCACAAACAGACGAATACAGCAAGAATCTGTCCGATTTAAACCCAAAACAAGGCACCAGGTAAAAAGGAGTGTGTCTGAATTATTATTTATTGCACTAAGGAACAGCAGGGCAGTTTCACAATCTCACTTTCTGCTTTGAAAAGGTCTGTAGTATTACTCTGAAACCCAAGAGTATTTTCATCATCGGACTTGATAAGTGTTGTAGGTTTGTCCTTTTGTTAATAAAACAGTACAGACATTAAAAAAAAAATAATCATTTAAATTTACTCCTTCATGGACAATTCAACTTCCCCTATCATGACACGTGCTTAAGATTACAGCAAGGCTAACATTCGGCGAAAATACAAAAGTCTGAGCCATGCACATACAGGGAAAAGAGCAACCAGATAGAAAAATAAAAGGAAATAAACCAAAATACAACTCCTGGTTTTGCAATTGTGTCCATGAATTCATCTCTTAAGCCCAGCATCGCCTACGGACGGAACAGCACTTCCAGTCCTTCCCAAGCACTCGGCAGCTACAGCTGATTTACAGGTAGAGTGGGATAACGCAAGTCCACACCAGCCACTACGAAGCCCAGCCTAAAGAAAATCCCTAGCGCACTACGGCTCGTCAGCACCGACGCCTACGTGAAGATTATGGCTGTTCCTTGGGGAGTGCAAAGTCAAAACTTGTCAAGACCCCGCCATCTTTGTGTTAATTTACACGTCATTCTTTAATTTCAGTGTCCCGGTAAAATATAAGAAAACAGTCTTTCCACAAGCATAAAATGTGGAAATGTCTTAAAAATAGGGGAGTCATCGTTTTCTAACGCAAACACGATCATCAGATTCCGTATTTAATCTTGGTAAGAGGTTATCGTCGTAAAGAATCCAGGTTTTGTGGCTTTTGCATGCACTTGACTGGAACAAAGCTCGCCCAAGGTCTTCTTAAGAGCTCACCAGAACATAAATCATGCTGGAAAATAAAATACAGAGGTTAAGAGGCACCATTTCGGTCAGGGTTATACATTTAACCAGAGTCCTGTGTTCTACGGAACAAGTCTCTGGGAGGTACGTGGATGGTGAGTGAAGATTTTACAGAAAACACGCACGGAGGGCGTAAGAAAGCACGGCGCAAAGGGATGCAACGAGCAGTCACCACACCCAGTGACACCAACAGGGAGCCCCATGTGCACGCGTTAATTCTACCTTTGGCTTCAACCAGAAAAACCAAAAAAAAAATCATATTTACATCAAAATACTCTGAGAATCTTCCTGTTCCAGCTTCCTAATGAAAATACTGGGCGTGGGTATCAAGTGTAGGAGAAGAAAACCTTGGAGCTTGCAAGTCTCCCATCGTGGCATGCAGACACAAAACAGCAATTCCGACCCAGTTAAGACTTGTGTTTTAAAACAGAATAAACGGTGATGATAGATTCTTTTTCAGACAAGTGGGCACTCCACATATTCCTAGTTAGAAAATTTATCTCATGATCAGATAATCAGATCTCATTATCAGATGATCAGAGGGCTGGAGCACCTCTGCTATGACGAAAGGCTGCAAGAACTGGGCTTGTTCAGCCTGGAGAAGAGGAGGCTCCGAGGAGACCTCATTGTAGCTTTCCAGTATCTGAAGGGGGCTACAAGGGTGCTGGGAGAGGACTTTTTACAAGAGCCTGTAGTGATAGGACAAGGGGTAATGGGTATAAATTGAAATCAGGGAGGTTTAGATTAGATATCAGGAAGAAATTCTTCACAGAGAGGGTGGGGAGGCACTGGAACAGGCTGCCCAGAGATGTTGTGGATGCCCCATCCCTGGATGTCTTCAAGGCCAGGCTGGATGTGGCTTTGAGCAACCTGGTCTAGTGCAAGGTGTCCCTGCCCATGGCAGGGGGGTTGGAACTGGATGATCTCTAAGGTCCCTTCCAACCCAAACCATTCTATGATTCTATGATCTCGTGCACCGAGCCAAAGATTTCAGACCGAAGATTAGATGGGAGACAGAGGGGAAAAAAACTTACCCGTATAGGTAGTAAAAAAATGATAGAAGGTAGAACGCTAATTTGCACCATCCTTCTTTCTGGCAATAGGCTAAAATATCTGCATTCATGATGGTCGTAGGATCATACAGACCGGGGCCGCTCATCACGGGTCTACTCATGTACCTGGAAGTGATGCACAGTTAGTTCTGGGGTGACGGCGCCGGGGAACATTGGTTCCTGCCCCCCACCCACCCTGGAACGTCAGAACAAAGACAAGGAATCACACCCCTTACGGCAAAGTCCATCAGCTCCGTGGAGGAGATGGGCAGGTTACAAGAGCAACACGGAGCTCCAAACTACACGTGCCTATGGACGAGCTTTCACAGACGGTGCAGCGACCTCAGCCTCGAAGCGTGCTGAACTCCAGCACACCAAAAGGAAACAGGACAAATTTATAAATACACGAAAAATGGGATTCCTTATGGAAGGATTGGGAGACGGACGGATCACCCTAGGTAACCTAGAGCCTCCGCTCGTTAACAACGCACGCGCTGGCTACCCGTGCTGATGGAATATTCATACGGATCAATACAAAATGATCCGGAAACTGCAGACTAACGCAGGCTACCGGCAAAAGGAATGGTCCCGCCTCCGCCCCTCCATGAAAACCGTCGTGCTGGGCTCCCTCCTGCAGCTCCCTGCACGGGGCCAATTCCAGCACAAGGAGAGGCAGTGCCCATGGCGGGAGGAAAGCGGGGTTGCCACCTCTCCCGGCAACCCAAGCCGCGCGTCTGCAGTACCAGCACGCCTCTGAGGGTTCAGCCCTTCAACGCACACCCAACACCACTCGTCTTGCAGAGCACGAGAGAATAAAAACTGACAGAGACAGCAAAGTGGCGGTTCTTCTTTTACAGCCATGACGTAAACTTTCTCAACGTCCTATCAGGAAGCAGCTTTATTTGCCAAAGACAGAGAACACTTAGCAGGAAGCACTGCAACGGGAGAACGAGTAACAGTTAATGTGAGGAGAGAGCTAGCAGACCCGTCAATATTACCTCCAAATATGATAAGCCAGCAAAGGCATATTGAGACCCAGCGTAAGCCACTCTGCCGCACAGAGAAACATAACACAGAAGAATGCATGGATGAGGTACTCGGGAAGTACGAGCTGGAAAAGAAAAACACCAGTTAGACGTTTCCACTTCTCAAGGCAAAACGCGACGTCTTTAATCTATTTTGGAGGCAAGCCGTCGTTTAAAAAGCATTAAGGAACACCACTAACAAGAGCGCAGAAAGTGAAAACGGCAACGGGCAGCGCGCGCCTTGCTGTTTCCACACGATGTTCACGAACCACGGAGAAAAATTTATGAAATTAGATGCTCAGAGCAATAGGGCTTTTTTTAATTGCTTCTATTAATTTAAGTGCACTGTTAACAGATTCCACGCTTTACACGTGACCTTCGTAACAGGAGAGATCATCGAGATATTTCTGCTCATGCAACGGAGAAATATC